TCATTTTAAGTTATTGTGCATGACAGGTTTTGTTTTTTATAAGCTTTATATTTTTATATAGTCGAACCTATCAACACTCTACTCTTAGACATTACTTACAGGTTTAATTAATTTTTTTAAAAGAAAGAAAAGCATATACAAAGGATAATGTAACAAATACCTATGTGCTCGCCATATTAATAAATACTGATATTTTGCTTTTGATTTTTTAAAAGATTTATTTATTTATTTTAGAGAGAGAGAGAGCGCACAAGCATGAGGGGCAGAGGGAGAAGAAGAGAGAATCTCAAGCAGACTCCATGTTGAGCCCTGAGCCCTACGTGGGACTCGATCTCACCATTCTAAGAGCACGATCTGAGCCGAAACCAAGAGTGGGATGCTTAACTGACTGTGCCACGCAGGCATCCCTGCTTCTGATTTTTTAAAAAACAAAGTTACAGATGAAATTGAGATCTCCTTATTTCCCTTTCCAGTAACATTTCCCTCTCTCCTTTACCCACTTCTTTGTTATCCAGAGGCAAGCCTATCAGGAATTTTGGTGTGATTCCAAATACGGTATTGTAAATTTACCACAGGTATATGTACCCATAAGCATTCATAATACTGCTTAGAGTGTTATAAAAATTTATGTAAGTTACCATACTATTTGTTATACTTTTGCAACTTGCTTATTAAAACTTAATATCCTGTTTTCAAGACTGACTCCATGTTATTACATATAGGTCTAATTAATTCACTTTCACTGTCTGTCTAGCATGGTTATACCACAACATTTTCTTCATTTCTCTACTGATGAACGTTTGCACTGCTCCTGATGTTTTGGTGTAAATAATATTCAGTTGACATCTGTGCTTGTCTCCTGGTTCAGGTATGTGAGAGTTTTACCTAGGAATGGAATCGCAAGATAATAGGGTACAGGAATTTATCATACCACCAGCTATTGCCAGATTGTTCTCCTTAAGGTTATAAAGAAAAATTTGTCTTAAACTTTGTTTAGGACAGGAGATTTTTGTATGTCCTATAATACACTATGTATTAACTTATTCAATCCTCAAACAGCTCTATGAGGTAGGAACAGATATTATAGCCATTGTATAGACAAAGAAACTGGAGTTCAGAGCCAAAGGCTTCAGAACTGGAAAGTGGCAGAGCACGTTTTAAACCCAGGAAGTCTGGCTGCAGAGCCATGCTTACCTACTCTGGTAGGTGGAGGAGTCAAGATAGGTAGGTTATGCTGCTGTAATGCCAAAACCTTAGTTTTTTGGGGTTTTTTTTGGGGGGGGGTTCTTCGGCATGTTGTGTTGTTTCTTTTTTATTTTATTTTATTATGTTATGTTAATCACACCAAAACCTTAGTTTTTAACAAAACAAAAGATTGTTTCTTCTTCATGGGAAGTGTGTAGTGGGTCTGGGTGGCTCTCCAGAGCACCAGTCCTCTGTGAGGTGGCTCAGAATTCTGTGCCCATGTGCTGACAACTTAATATCAACATTTGTTTCTACAGTCACTATGGTAGGTGAAGAGAGGGAAAACAGAGAATCACATAGTTGTTTTTAAAAGCTTCTGCCTGGAGGGACATGTCTCCTTTCTCATATTTCATTGGATGAAGCAAGTCACATGGCCAAGTCTTACTTCAAGAGGCAGGGAACCGTAACCTTCTTATGTGCCCAGAGTAGAGAGGAACAAGAAACATCCATGACAGCTGTGATGTCACCATGTCACGTGCTCACGTTCTACTGCTGCCATTGACTAGCCATGTGACTTTCAACAGGTCCCTTTTCTTCTAATTTTAATATCTGGACAATGACAGGATTCACTTATTTATTCAGTTGGTACCCATTATTTATTGAGAGTCCAGTGTATGCCAGGCACCATGTGACCCTGCAAATGCAATGATAAACAGGGTGTAACTTCTGCCCCCAAGCGGGTGGCAATTTAATAGCTACCTTACTGTTGATTTTCAGTTCTAAAATTCCAAGACTCTGTTAAAAGGCAATCACAACAACAAACCTTCCAGAGCATTACATTCTAGAGACTCAGGCATTTTCTTAGGAGTTTATTCCTTTTTGGTGTACGTGAATCCACTTGGCTGCAGTGTTAACTCATTTCCAGCAACAGATACACACATGTACATCACTTTCAAATTGCTGGTGTATGTGCATACTGACATATGTGGGGAAAATAAAGCAGACTTTGGATTATTCTCACAGCTATTTTGAATTTAGTGGGCAGAACACTTCATAAAAAAACAGAAGAAAATCAATTTGATTGAGAAATACCTGGGCAGATAACTTTGCTAAATAATGGACATTCCAGATATCAGAGAGTTTTTTTTTTATTACTTATGAATAAATAAAATTACAAAACTAAAGATTTCAAAACCATTTTGATTTGCAGTTAATTTTTCCCTAGAGGAATATTTACTGATATAAAATAGAAGAAATATGAAGACGTATATTTGTGAGCATGCACAAAACCGGTTTGCCAATTTAAAAAAAAAAAAAAATTTCTCAGGACCTGAAGCAGCCTTCCAAGTGTTAATTTACTAGTTGCCTGTAGTTAAAATACAGTTCACATGAAAAATTTATAAGAATTTGAGGCATTGTCTTTAATCATGATGCAACATTTTAAAATTTGAATGAAATATGCAAAAAAAAATCCATTCTACTTTACATTGATGCAATCATGGCATTTCCTTTATTCTTAATACTGCAAATCTAATTCTTAAACCAAAGCCAAAAAATAGTGATGCAATAGTTGGATGCATCTTCAGACCATTCTAAATAAATTTCCAATTAATCAGACCCATTTGTCATCCTTCTTACAATCCTTTCTTTCTTTCTTTCTTTTTTGATCTTATTTTATTATGTTATGTTAGTCACCATACAATACATCATTAGTTTTTGATGTGGTGATCCACGATCCATTGTTTTCGTATAACACCCAGTGCTCCGTGCAGTATGTGCCCTCCTTAATACCCAACACCGGGCTAACCCAATCCTTTCACACTTAAGAGGTATTGAGTTGTTTCACCATATAATGATTAATTTGCTGCTTGTCTGTACTTTGAATTTATTTAATATTGGTATACTTGTTCCCCTTCTAATAGTAAAACAGGGACAGAGACCATGATCATTACTCTCAGAACCTCTGGTTTGCCCAGTAAGCATCCAATAATTATTACTGGGCTTTCTTGAAGGCTAAATAAGAATAATCAGAATCTTTGAGTATGGGAAGAGCTTAGAGAAGCTGGTTATATTTACTAAGGAGAGATCAATAACCATTCTCTATTCTCATTATACATATTCTCCCTGAGTGATCCGATCTATTGCCATGACATCAAGTGCTACCTTATGACTTCTAAATCCATGTCTCCAATAATGGCCTTCTTCCTGAGGTCCACACAGGCATTTCAGCCACCATCACCACCTGGTTATCTGCACAGATAACTCAGACTCAAAATACATAAACAAGAATGCTTTATCTTCTTCCTCCACCTCAGCTCCCTTTGTGGTCTCTTTTTCAGAAGGGTGCCATCATCCACTCATCCATATGATGCACCTGGAGTTATCCTTGATTCTTCCATTTTCTTTATCAAGAACCAAGTCCTGTGCGTTCTACTTCTTTAATAGCTCTTGAATCCATCCTCTCCCTACAACTTCCAACTTCAGTTCAGACCTTCATTTCCTACCTGATTCTAGTAATACTTCCTAAGTAGCCTTCCTATCTCCAGCCAGGTTTACTTGAATTGTTTCCTCCATACCCAGGCCTATGACTTTTCTCATGCAAATCTCATCATGTCAGTGTAGATACACTTCCAGTTTCACTCTATTTGGTGAATGGGTGCAGTTCCATATTCTGGTCCCTTCCCAATTTGCTGTCTGCTCAGGAGGTCTCAATTATGTCCTGAGAGTGTTGCCCCTATTTCCACACCCCTAAAATGCTGTGTTTCAAGTCATACTTGCCTGTCTCAATAGAGCTCTTTCTCACCCTGACCATGCTCCCTCTCTTCTGCCCACCTTATTTTCGTTTTTTTACTTTGTGGCAATTGCAGAGGACAAAGGGATGAAGGGAAGTATGGAAGGAAAAAATGAAAGGCACCAAGGAACTGCAGCCCAATTTCTTGATGCTTTTTCCCTTTCAATCCTAGAGTCCATGGTCTGCTTTTGTAAAACGTTTTCTATTACACACCATGTGTGTAGTTTTTGTGTGTCTCTGAGTGGGTTGTGTTATGTCATTCTGTGAGCCTCAAACAGCACTGTTGAGAATTTGGTTAAGCTACTCCATAGTAGTATTGCCTCGGCATCCATTTTGTTTGGCCAAGTGGGCTGCAGAGGCCTTAAACTGACACTAATCCCCTCGTGCACACTCATGCCTTAGATGGCACCCTGCAGCGTCACAAGCATGATATGACACCTCTAATACCTTTTGTGATCAACAGTTTCCTCTCTTTCTGAGGTCCTTCTGGTGTGCCCTTTAGATAGATTCTGGCAAGGCTTACAGAAAACTGCTCTTTTTGGTTTGAATTGACCGATCTGGCCTTAGCCTGGGAACTTCCCAAAGCCCTCCACCCCCAGCTGCAATAAAGGCGTGTGTCCCAGGTCCTGCCTCTCTCTCTGCCTGCACCTTGCTTTGACCTCCCCCTGTAGCCCCTAGAGGTGTGCTATGTACTTCCTCCAGGACCTGTGAGTAATAAATTTCTCTATTTCAATTTCTCTTGTGGTGTTTTGTTGAACCGGGACTCACCATCTGGCACCCTGTGTTCCATTTAACAAATATTAATTTAATAGTCATAACAAGCAATAATCCTATCTACCAATATTACTCTGTCTTTTCAATGATTACCACATGAAAATCATTAATTAATCAATGTTTTTTGATAATGATGAAAGGAGGTAAAGGAAGGAAGAAAAAAACTGAACTGTTAAGAAAAAGGCAAACTGTTTCAAGATAATCTTGAATATTGGTTTAAAATAACATCCCCAAGGAAAGAAACACTTACCTTCTGCTGTGGAAATGTGGACTCCATCATGGCTGTTTCAAAGCTGTGAGCACCCTCTGCCTGGGTCTTATCCCACAGAGCTCTGAGAAATTGCACAGAATGACTTTGTATGGATAGGGGCTCAGGAAACAGGCTCTGAAAGGGCAATAATGAGAAAACCATAACATTATCTCTTGTCCTAACAATATTGTTTGATCAACTACAAGGTACTATTTGGGTTGAAATTCAACCAGGTTTAAATTTAAATAAAACAACAAAGAAATCTATCTTGAAGATCAAACATATGATATACTTCAGGCTTCTCATTTTTTTAATAGAAAAGTAAAATTATGGAATAGGATTTCAAGCCAGTTGATATTGATCTCTAAATATGCCTAAGCTTTGTAATGTAATGTTTACCTCGATCATTTCCCAAGCATGGTACTTAATTGGAAAGTGGTTAATATAAATATTCATATTTATTTGTTCAGAGATCTGAGAATTATGGTATATAATTAAAACTAGAGTATAAATATCAAGTCTGTTTATGCAGAGTAGATGATGAAGGCTAGAAATTAAATAACTAAGAGTACACTATTCAACAACTGAAATATTAACAGTGTGAACGGATGGTGGGGAAACAAAAACACTTTTAATCCTAAAATGTATAAGAGGTGACTATTCCCAGAGCTAATACTCTAGTTTTGGATAAAAAGATTATTCATGTAAAGAAAATCACATTTACATGTATTTCATTCAAGAAGATTTAAATTGTGTTTGTATATTTACTAATCCATAATGGGTTTAATAGTCATTTAAACATTGTGACATGATATCTATAAAGTGAGAAGTATTTTAATTCAAGGGAACAATTTTATAAAAACATAGACCATAATATAGGGCATCAAATATTATTTACATACATATAATACCATACATATTATCCTTTATGTGTGAGGTACGATAAAATAATAATATTGGCTTACAAAATTTTATTTTTTTGTGTCAATGACTGTCCAAGCATTAGTTTATGAGAATTTAGGTGGTCTGTGTGTATAAAGTAACTATTTAGTAAATGAAAACTAATAACATTTTTCCAGAAAAATCTAGTTATTATCATTATCAAGATAAACTGTTTCTTATGCTGAGTGGGGAAACGTGGAGGATCTTATACCCCAAGTAAGTGGTCCACAGATTAAAAAGACTAAAAGTCAGGAACAGATAGATTGATTATACCACCCATAATGTGGACATATCTGGGAATTTCTTGATTATTATCAGAAACTTATACAGCATATGATTTTTCACTTAAAGAAGAACAGGACCGGATTTAACTAATCACCATTCCAAAGAGGACCAGTTAGACTGGAATCTGTGAATTTGAGAATTCCATGAATGTGTTGACAGTTAACTTTGTGTTCTTTGAATTCCATGAATGTGTTAACTTTGCTTTCTTAAAGCAAAGAGTCTGACCCAGCATACAAGGCTAGTACTGGGTTTGTAATGATCAAGTCAAAGATTTGATTTTTCTTGACCCCAAAGTCAGGATTCACCCAGACTACACAATATCAAGGGTGTAGAAAAAGAAAGGAAACATAGTAAAATGAACAAAGAAGAAAAGCATCATAAACAGATGCTTTCGGGTGATTTTGCTTAAAGAGAAAAACAAAGAATCAGACTAAGTCAATAAAATATGACTGAAGGGACAAAAATAAATCAAGTTTTTTGGTTTATTTTCAGAAAACTGACAAGTAAAGAACAAAGCCAATGAGGAAACCAAATACAAACTCACTGATGGAAACTATTTGAAAAACAAGTAAAGTAGAAGAAAAATAAGGTCATTTCAAGAAAAGGAAAAAAAAAATCAATGCTGGTTTTTATACTCACAATTTGATTCACATCAAAATGTGAGTTGTTCTTTATGAGATATCAGTAAGTGTTCTTAAAAAGACTTCCTATAGGAAAAGATGGTTTTCCTAAGGTACATCTAAGCAGTCTCTTTTCTTAATTACTATAGCTCCATTTTATGATTATGATCTATTCAGCATTAAAATGCATCTTTTCTTAATAAGCTTACCTTTTCTTTATAAAGAATGTAATTGTCTGGTTGGTAGGGGCTCTTATAGAAATATTTCATTAATAGAAACAAACTATACTATCACTTGGCCTAATTTTTACCTATTTTATAACATTCATTTTATAACATTCATAATCTGTTTTTTCTGCGTCAGCCCTCTCTGCTTCTTTCTGAAACCCCCCATTTCATTTTTTAACACATGTGCTACTAGGAAAAGACAACTGAATGAGGGGGCAGGTGGTCTGTATTCTTCCTTTAATTTACTTATCTGTAAAAATGATGTCTGATATTCCTCCTATTACTAACATTTTATAATCTATATTCAACTTTTATATGAAAGTTTAATGCATTCAAGATAAGTATTTCCAAATATTCAAGACTCCCTGCTGATGTTAAAATCTTTGCATCAAGTTGTTCATTAAGTTGAAAGTTCCTCTTTATGTAACTTTACCTATATACATAAATTCTATGGGAAAAAATGGCATTCCAGTATTTTAATGATGTCAAAAAGGATATGTTGACACTAAAATTAATTGGAGATTGGAAGGCTGTAGAGAAATAAAGACAAGCCCTACATAAGGAAAGCTATTCCTCCAAATAAGCTGTTTTTGTTGTCATTTAACAAAAAAATATTTTCTTTTCTTTTTTTTTTTTTTAAGAGAAGAACATTCTCTTCTTTTTCTTTAAAGCTAAGGACATTCAAGATATTACTAAGTTTGGCCTCCTTAATACTAATCCAAGGTCTTTCCTAAAGAAACTACCCTAAAATATAGAAAACCCATGTTAAAAATTATTAGTGAAATGTGTATGCATTGCTGTTATTTACATATGAACTCTAATCAAAGAATTCAGTAAAAGTGATTATAAACTCATAACCCACCAACTCACTAAGGAGCCATGACAAACATGCATATACACACCTGCTGAAAGAGGAACATGATCTGGATCCACGGCTGAGGTTCTTGGCTGATGAGAATAAAACTGGATTTACTGTAGAGGCAGTAATGACCCTTCAGGGAGCAGGTAAAGAACAACTTTGCTACGCAACTTCTAACAGAATCTAGAAATGAATATACATAGCATTACACATAGATTTTTCCAGAGTTGTACTTTATACTTCAATATAGGAACACCTCTAGAAATACGTTCTTCAGTTTCAGTCTGCAAATGAATAACTCCAAATAACTGTGTATTTGGGAGTGGATCCATTTCATGGAATGTAGATTTAACTAAAGATTTCTTCAACAAGTTATATTCTTTCTATCAGTCTTTCCCTTGTTTTCATTAATAATGCATTAGGAATCTCCAAGGAACTCACCTGGAAGAAAGAAAACCTCTCATCAATAGAAAGGGAGATGCAGTGTTATTACTATCTGATTGGGCACTTTGAAATGATAATGTGGGAAGGATAAGCAAATGCATAGAGGAAACCCAGGCATCTTCTGGGCAGTGGATAGTGTGCCATGAACCAGTAACATTGTTCTCTTGGTTGTGCAGGGGCTACAAAGACAGCCTCCAGAATAACTCTGCCAGTGGTGTGACTTCCTATGAACTGGCCTGGTGTGGTTTGAAAAGTTTATCTTATATATTGAAGAGGTTCAAAGCAGGGAAACTTAATGAGATCATTGATAAGAAAGTGGGGGAGGGTGGTGGTGGCGGCATGGAGCAGAAGTGGCAAGAAGCCGTAAGTAGGAGGAGCCATTTAATTTTATGCCCTACAAGATGGGTGTTATTATTTCTATCTTAAAAATGAGGACGGGGCGCCTGGGTGGCTCAGTCGTTAAACATCTGCCTTCGGCTCAGGTCATGATCCCAGGGTCCTGGGATCGAGCCCCACATCAGGCCCCCTGCTCGGGGGGGAAGCCTCCTTCTCCCTCTCCCACTCCCCCTGCTTGTGTTCCCTCTCTCTCTGTGAAATAAATAAATAAAATCTTTTAAAAAAAATAAGGAAACTTACCGCATTAGGGGGTCAGCTTAGCGAACCACTATGAATGCCTTGTTCACCACCATGAATTTGCCATGTGGCATATACAAGAGATGCTCAAGAGAGCATCTGGACAAATGAATGATGCTCGGGGGTCTAGAAAAACTCCTCAAGTCTATCCAATCTGTGGCAGAGCCAGGATTTGAACTCAGCTGAGCTGATGCCACATTAAGATGCTTTAGGCTCTACCATACTGGGAATTTTTAGATCTGTCATATTGATAATGCATGGGGTATTTATTCTTTCAGAATTAAGCTGATATTTTAATAAAAAAAAGAATTATGCTGATACTTTAAATGAAATATTTTAAATATTAATAGATTTTAGTATGGACTACTTTTAAAAATGGAAATATGGGTTACAGTTTATTAATAAAGTTGAGGGTGACCCTAATAAGGTAGTCAGTCAGTCCCCATCTAAGAGAGTGCCCTGGGTTCCTTAGAGAATTGGGGAGGCCTATCTGTGCACTATAGGGACTCAGGTGTGAAGGAATAACAGGCTTTTCAGGAAGAGCTTAGAAAAATTAAGGAAGAGTGACCAATGACACATTAGAGGAGAATGCATTGAAAATAAAATAAAGACATTCATCAGTTTAGAAATATATACAGAAATCTTAACAATTAACAACTATCTGTGATTCTGAAACACCGGTATGGAAGAGGATGTTTTTGTGAAGTTAATTGTTTTGGGGAATTAAAAAAAATGGGGTTGAGCATTCAATATCCTTGTATAAAATCAGAAATCATTTCTGTATTCTGTGGGTGAATGGATTATGAGATGTAAAGAATGACTGAAAGTTCGGTGGAAAAGACCAGGAGGCCCTGCATTGAGAAAGATCTCAATGTATAGAATTGAGCACAATATTGGCTTAAAATTGCCCTATCAGAAATTACTTGAAATGGTAACTAAAAATCCTTTTTTGGTACAGATGTTCTGGAAAATTGGATTTAAATTAATCAATACTAGAGAAACAGGAAACCAAGTATTTCGTAATGACACACACACACAAAGGGTATTTGAAATAAACCTAGCTGTGATGTATACTCTGAGACAGCAGTATGTTTTGCTTTAATAGAAGGGTTCAAAAGAAAACAAGTTCTTTTCTAAGAAGCTATGCAGTAGCTTGACAGTCACAAGTTGGACTTCAGGCCTCTGCCATGAAAAAAGTTTTTGTCTTTTTCTTTTCCTTAAATATTCTCAGTACTCATTCATGTTTTCTTATGCAAATGAACATTGATTAGATTTATTTTACTCACCCCGAGTCTACCAGTTTTCTATACACGACCCACAGAGGTCCCAGATCACACAAAATGGGCAAAGCAGTAGAAAACAGAGGCCTTTAACTTAGAAGCATATATGCTAGCTATAAAAATAAACCAGTTCTGTGATATCTTCTGTTAATGCTTTCTATAACCTGATCTGTAGCAATATTTTTTCCTCATTTTTTTCAGAGCTTTCCTAACTTGGAAAATTTTCCTACAACATTAACATTTAATTGCTGATTTTTCTCTGCAATTCTCTTCCTCATGTTCACTCTGTGGTATTGAATGGTAGGCACGCATAAATGGTTGTTGGATGAATGAATGAATGTCAAACACTATGTGGAGAGCAAGAAGGGCCAGGATGTTGACCCTGCTCTTAAGAAGCTTACAGCCAAATGGGAGAGACATCTATAAACAAAACATAAATTGTTTTAAGTCCATGGGATAATGGAGGCACACACAATTCTGACTGCTCAGAGAAATGAGCAGCTATTTTTTTTTTAAGATTTTATTTATTTATTTGAGAGAGAGAATGAGAGAGAGAGAGAGAGCACATGAGAGGGGGGAGGGTCAGAGGGAGAAGCAAACTCCCTGCTGAGCAGGGAGCCCGATGTGGGACTTGATCCCGGGACTCCAGGATCATGACCTGAGCTGAAGGCAGTCGCTCAACCAACTGAGCCACCCAGGCACCCAAGCAGCTATTTTAATTGGGAAACAAGGAAAATCTTTATGGAGGAGGAAATATTTGAGGTCACTTTGAAAGATAACCACAATCTTGAACTTAGAAAATGTTGGGAGGAGAAAAGCATTTTAAGTGTATGGAATATCCAGAAAAAAACATATAAGGCATGAAGTTTAAGGTAATTCCAGGTGGTAAGGTAAGTGTATCTGGGTCATTATGATATTTTTTGCTTATACAATTGATGTCCAAAGGGTTATTTATTTTTATAGAGTAAATGTTGAAGGTCATGCTTTGCTAAATATAGAGTGCTTTGCCTATTCCACCAAGTCTGATTATTTCTTTCTTTTGGTAGATTACAGTCTATCTTTGTAAAAATCAAAGGATTTGTTGTGGTCTTTATAAACACTGAAGTTAACATGAACATCAATAATTGTATAATATAATTATATTATAAGTTGAAATATCCAAAATATATACATCACACACATGGGTAGATTTAAAGGTGTGATACAAAATACAGGAATAGGTTGCAGTTCAAGATGGCAACATAAGAAGACCCTGAACTCACTGATAAGCAATAGGCTTGATAAAGAATTTAAAGTAATGATCTCAAAAATACTCACTGGGCCAGAGAAAAGAATGGGAGAACTCAAGTGAGACCTTCAATGAAGAGATAGAAAATATCAAAAAGAACCAATCAGAATTGACGAATACAATAACTGAAACAAAAAACACACTAGAGGGAATCAACAGTAGATTAGAAGATGCAGAAGAATGTATCAGCAATCTGGAAGACAGGGGAATAGCACATAAGCTGAACAGCAAAAAGAGAAAAGAAGTTTTAGAAATGAGGATTAAGGGATCTCTTAGACAATGTCAAGCCAACAAACATTCCTATTGTAGGGGGTCCCTGAAGAAGAACTGAGAGAGAGGTGTAGGAAACTTATGTCAAGAAATAATAACTGAGGCGAAAAGATGGCAGAAAAGTAGGGTAACCTATTCCAACCGGTCCCCGGAATTGAGCTGGATATCTACCAGACCACTCTGAACACCCACAAAATCAGCCTGAGATGTAAGAAGATAGATCTGGATCTCTACAAACAGAATATCGCAGGTGGTTGGTTTTGAGGTATGAAGCAGGGATCCGTGATTCTGAGGGCAGATATTGGAGGATAAACGGCAGGGGGAGGGAACTGTGGTAATCCTGCACCACCAGTGAATGACAGCCTCCCGTGCTGGGGACGGGGCATGGACTCACAGACTCGTAGCGACAGGGAAAGGACTTTAGCCCCTGGACTGAAACCCGGAGTGGTGGGGCTGTGCTTGTGAACTGGGGATGGCTGGCGGTTTTAGAAGCACAAAGGGCAGAGACGTGCCCCTGTGCCTGGACCTGGAGGTGAGGACTGGGAGCCCTGCTGAAGGGCCCATGACCCAGGATGCTGTGGTTTATAGACAGAAATGGAGATAGTGTGGCCCGGAAAGCTCACTGAAGAACAGACTGTGAGCTCTCTGCTCTGAGGCAGAGGGTTGGAAATGATCTCTTCTGCTCTGACTCTCCGAAGAGATGTGGAAATCTGCCAGGGAAAGCCACCAGAGAACAAAAGCCCCCAAAATCGGTTTTCACTGAGCCCATCTCCCCCGACAGGAGGCAGGGCAACTCTGCCCAAACAAGGTTGCCTGAGTAACAGTGCGGCAGGCCCCTCCCCCAGAAGACAGGCTGGGAGAACAAGAGGCCAGGAACCCTAAGGTCCCTATAAAACAGGTGCATCTTGCTTGCGTTGTGGTCAATAATTTGGATTCTTACATTCCCGCAACCACCCATCAACAGAGTGACTAGGAGGAGGAACCCCCAAAATAGGAAAGACTCAGAGACTGTGACTTCTGCCACAGATTTACAAATGGATACAGATATAACCAAGAAGTCAGAGATGAAATTCAGGGTAGCAATTGTGAAGACAATAGCTAGAATGGAGAACTCAATTAACGACAACATGAAGTCTTTAAGGGCAGAAATGAAAGTTGAATTGGCAGAATTTAAAAATGCTATCAATGAGATCCAATCTAATCTAGATAATCTAACAGCTGGGCTAAGCGAGGCAGAAGAATGAATTAGTGATCTAGAAGGCAAATTA